CTACTCTATAATAGAGACTATATACTACTCTATAGTCTATACTATAGTCTACTATATAGTAGAGACTATAGTATGCTCTATAGTCGAGGCTTAAGTCTACTCTATAGTCGAGACTTTAGTCTAGACTATAGTCTACACTATAGTCTATACTATAGTCTACACTATAGTCTACACTATTCTACACTATAGTCGAGTCTATAGTCTACACTATAGTCGACTATAGTCTACTCTATAGTTGATACTATAGGCTACTCTATAGTCGAGTCTTTATTCTACTCTATAGTTATTCATTTGTCGAGAATATAGTCTATTCAATAGTCGAGAATGCTTATAGGCTACTTAATAGCGAGTCTATAGTCTACTATATAGTCGAGACCATAGTCTACTCTATAGTTAAGACTATCGCCTACTATATAGTCGAGACTATAATTTACTCTGTAGTCGAGACTATAGTCTACTCTATAGTCGAGACTATATTCTACTCTATAGTCGAGACTATATTCTACTCTATAGTCGAGACTATAGTCTACTCTATAGTCGAGACTATAGTCTACTCTATAATAGAGACTATAGTCTACTCTATAATCGAGACTATAGTCTACTCTATAGTCGAGAATATAGTCTACTCTATAATCGAGACTATAGTCTACTCTATATTCGAGACTATAGTCTACTCTATAATCGAGACTATAGTCTACTCTACAGTCGAGACTATAGTCTACTCTATATTCGAGACTATAATCTTATTTATAGTCGAGACTATAGTTTATTCAATAGTCGAGAATACTTATAGACTACTTAATAGTCGAGACTATGGTCTACTATAGTCTACTCTATAATCGAGACTTTATACTACTCTAGAGTCTAATATAGTAGAGACTATAGTATGCTCTATTGTAGAGACGGTAGTCTACTCTATAGTAGAGACTATAGTCTACTCTATAGTCGAGTCTATAGTCTACACTATAGCCGACTACAGTCTACTCTATAGTTGATTCTTTTTATTGTCGATTCCATAATCAATTGTCTACTCCACAGTCAAGACTATTGTCCACTCTTTAGTTGATACTATAGACTACTCTTCCGTCAAGACTACAGTTTACTACATAGTTGAAGCTGCAGTCTACTGACAAGAGAGTCTATGGGCTATTGTATTGTCCACCTTTTAGTCGAGACTTTAGTCTATTTAAGCTCTACTTATTGTGATTATATAACGATCTTCTACTCTATAGTGTGGACTTCTCTTTTGTCGATTGATTTAACAACCTTGGCACATTTTCAATTTTTTTTATAAATTTTATATAATATAAACAAATTTTTCAAATATAACTAATAAATTAACACTAATTTTCATTCAACCTTATTTTATTCAACATTTTAAAAGTGTCAGTTGAATTTAATCTAAAATAAACAAAAATGATGTTAAAGAAATTCCGTAAAATTCCCACACTTATCGTAGAAATTTTTACGTAAATACAATAAAATAACATAACTAATCTAACAAATAATTAATAATAATCTTAAAAGTAGTCAACCACTCAAAAGGAAGTATCTACTGTATTTAGGTCTTAAGTTCGGGAGTATGCATTAATATGTACAAATGTCTGAAGTAATTATGTCAAAATATTATTTAATTTTTATTTAAAGTGTCACTATCACAAGTTATTGTCTAAGAATGCCGACGTCAGTTGACGTCGTGTTTAAATAATAAAAAGTAAAATTCCCAGAGTATAACTTTTCAGTTTGTTGTTGGTTGTCGATATATCTTTGCGATTAGATTAATAACGGTAGTAGTAGTTTGAAAGCATTTGATTTGTATTTTGTTTATGTTTTGTTTATTTTGCGGAGTCACTCGTCGAGTAGAATATTTTCGATGATAAAGATATATATTTTTTTGTTTTGTTTCGATATTTAAAGATTATATTATAAAGTATTTGATTTATAATCTAGCTGACGTAGTGAATGATAATTTTGCGTATTGAGAATTAATATTATTAAATATGAGATTTTTCCGGTTTAAGCAATGTTTTATTTTTTGGGGTTTATATATATAGTTCCAGTGCGATTATAAGGTCGTTGCATTGATTTTGATTGTCACTGTATATTTTATGAGATTTTTTACAACTCATGTGTTACAAATTTAATAATAAAATTTATAATATTTTACGTTATAAAGAAATTATATACATGCATATGTCTATAAAGGCTATTGTCTTCTTTTTTTTCTAGCCAAGGTAACAGGCTTAAGTTATAAAAGAAATCACACTTTTAAATACACTTGCAAATGTTGGTGCCATTAAACTTTGATCAAATCAAATGGGGGAAAAAATGTTGGCAGTAAGTACAACCTTCACAATTTTGATAATAAATTAAGTGTTATAATCACAATCAATTTTGTAGATTACTTAATCCATGAATACTTTTAGTAGAATTGATTAAGTGATCGTTTCAGTAGAAATTTTGTTATTGGTATTTTAGTTCAGTTTTAACTTAGATCATGTCAGTAGTTTTTACATTTTTTAATAGTTAGTTTGTGCAAAATTTGCTCAAAGTCTTACTATCTTTAGTAAGAAATAACAAAGAAACATGAATGGACCACATACTGTAAATATGCCGGAAAAACATAAAAACTACGTAGAACATTCTTCGAAAAGCAAAGAAAAACAAATCAAATCAAACAATTTATAGTTGGGCAAAAATGTGAATAATTTTCTAATAATAAAGCATTTTTACTTAATTCCGAAATATTTTAACAATTTGTTACCAAAAAAGTAATTTTCTGAAAGAGTGGAAAATTTTAACGATTTTCAATAGTCTTTGTATTGCGTCAGAAAAGGGCATGTTCCAAATTTCAACAAACTATATTAAAAACGTCTACCCGTAGCGTCGGCCAAGGTTTACATGGACACACAGACGGACATAGCTTAACCGACTCAGAAAGATATTCCGAGTCGATTGGTATACTTTAGGGTGAGTGTAGGACCAATATGTTTTGGTCTTAAAAACACCAGCACAAACGCATAATACCTATAGGGTATAGAAAGCGGTTAGTTAGTAGTTAGTTAGTTAGTTAGTTAGTTAGTTAGTTAGTTAGTTAGTAGTTAGTTAGTTAGTTAGTTAGTTAGTTAGTTAGTTAGTAGTTAGTTAGTTAGTTAGTAGTTAGTTAGTTAGTTAGTAGTAGTTAGTTAGTTAGTAGTTAGTTAGTTAGTTAGTAGTTAGTAGTTAGTTAGTTAGTTAGTTAGTTAGTAGTTAGTTAGTAGTTAGTTAGTTAGTAGTTAGTTAGTTAGTTAGTTAGTAGTTAGTTAGTTAGTTAGTTAGTTAGTTAGTTAGTTAGTTAGTTAGTTAGTAGTTAGTAGTTAGTTAGTTAGTTAGTTAGTTAGTTAGTTAGTTAGTTAGTTAGTTAGTTAGTTAGTAGTTAGTTAGTTAGTTAGTAGTTAGTTAGTAGTAGTTAGTTAGTTAGTTAGTTGTAGTTAGTTAGTTAGTTAGTTAGTTAGTTAGTTAGTTAGTTAGTTAGTAGTTAGTTAGTTAGTTAGTTAGTTAGTTAAGTTAGTTAGTTAGTTAGTTAGTTAGTTAGTAGTTAGTTAGTTAGTAGTTAGTTAGTTAGTTAGTTAGTAGTTAGTTAGTTAGTTAGTAGTTAGTTAGTTAGTTAGTTAGTTAGGAGTTAGTTAGTTAGTTAGTTAGTTAGTTAGTTAGTAGTAGTTAGTTAGTTAGTAGTAGTTAGTTAGTTAGTAGTTAGTTAGTTAGTTAGTAGTTAGTTAGTTAGTTAGTTAGTTAGTTAGTTAGTTAGTTAGTTAGTTAGTTAGTTAGTAGTTAGTTAGTTAGTTAGTTAGTTAGTTAGTTAGTTAGTTAGTTAGTAGTTAGTTAGTTAGTTAGTTAGTAGTTAGTTAGTTAGTTAGTTAGTTAGTTAGTTAGTTAGTTAGTTAGTTAGTTAGTTAGTTAGTTAGTTAGTTAGTTAGTTAGTTAGTATTAGTTAGTTAGTTAGTTAGTAGTTAGTAGTTAGTTAGTTAGTTAGTAGTTAGTTAGTTAGTTAGTTAGTTAGAGTAGTTAGTTAGTTAGTTAGTAGTTAGTTAGTTAGTTAGTAGTAGTTAGTAGTTAGTTAGTTAGTTAGTTAGTTAGTAGTAGTAGTTAGTTAGTTAGTTAGTAGTTAGTAGTTAGTTAGTTAGTTAGTTAGTTAGTTAGTTAGTTAGTTAGTTAGTTAGTTAGTTAGTAGTAGTTAGTTAGTAGTTAGTTAGTTAGTTAGTAGTTAGTAGTAGTTAGTTAGTTAGTTAGTTAGTTAGTTAGTTAGTGTTAGTTAGTTAGTAGTTAGTTAGTTAGTTAGTTAGTAGTTAGTTAGTTAGTAGTTAGTTAGTTAGTTAGTTAGTAGTTAGTTAGTTAGTTAGTTAGTTAGTTAGTTAGTAGTTAGTTAGTAGTTAGTTAGTTAGTTAGTAGTTAGTTAGTTAGTTAGTTAGTTAGTTAGTTAGTTAGTTAGTTGTTAGTAGTTAGTTAGTTAGTTAGTAGTTAGTTAGTTAGTTAGTTAGTTAGTTAGTTAGTTAGTTAGTAGTTAGTAGTTAGTTAGTTAGTTAGTTAGTTAGTTAGTTAGTTAGTTAGTAGTAGTTAGTTAGTAGTTAGTTAGTTAGTTAGTATTTTAGTAAAAGCAGTATTTTTTATAGATTTCAGTTTTCCATGTCCGGTCAAGATTAATTGTAAAAATTTTGGTTTTTCAAGTGCTTTATTTTTCGTCACAGGGTGTTATCGTCGATATTACAGTTAAACCAAAATCAACTTTTATGCAGAACGATTTTTTTTTGACAACTAAGTTTCCTTCAAAAGAAATTTATTGTTTGTAGAATGAGTTCAAGTTAAAACGTCCACTCAGGCAGTGGTGGTACGTTCTTGAAAAGTAAATCGGTTAAAAGGGACTTGAGTTTTTTAACATTTTTTAAATAAATACAATATGACGGCAGAAATTAACAAAGGTAATGAAAGTGATATTATTAAGTGTGAAATATTATTGGAAGAATATGATAAATTGTACCCTAATATTTTTTTCTAAATTCAGGCCCGTTTTTTGGTCAGCGGCATGTTCAAGTGTTTCTACTATTTCTCTGCATAACGGTGAATTATATAGTAAAATTCAATGCTGGTGTTTCAGTAGTAGCCATGACAAATGCGGAGACAACAAATCCTAACTTTCCGGTAAATATTTCCACTCTTAAATCACTGAATCATACTGGTAACTCAATTCTTTTATGTTTTACCAGGAATATGATTGGAATGAAATGGAAAAATCCTTTATACTCTCCAGTTTCTTTTGGGGATATTTTGTTACACAATTTCCGGGAGCTTTCCTTTGTAAACGTTTTGGTGCTAAACTAATAATGTTCGTTTCAACTATGGGCTCATCTGCGGTTGCTGTTCTCGTACCCCTTGCCTTAGATTGGGGTGGCTGGCAGGTGTATTGTGGTATACGTGTGGTGCAGGGTCTATTTCAAGGTCTACTCTTTCCATGTGTACACACCCATTTAGCTTCTTGGTGTCCGGTTGATGAACGTAATCGTTTAGGTGCTTTGGCTAATACGGGTATTGATTGTGGCACTTTGTTAGCAGTATTTCTGAGTGGTACTATAGCAGCTTCATCTATTGGTTGGCCTGGTATTTCTTATATGTCTTGTGGTGTAGGAGTATTTTGGTGTATTCTATGGTTTTTGTTTGCCGCAAATTCTCCTAATGAATCAAAATTTATAACCGAAGCTGAGAGAAGTTATATTGAAAACTCCAAAAATGCTTTAAAAGAACATGATGTGAATGTCACACCCAAATCTATACCCGTTCCATGGAAGGCCATTTTAAGCTCATGGCCTTTTTGGGCTTTATTAGTGGCCAGATCAGCTGATTCATGGGGTTTCTCGACTTTACTAGCTGAAATACCTTCCTATATGAATGCCGTTTTAGGCATAGATATGAAAAATAATGCCTTATATTCCGCTTTACCATATCTCGCCATGTGGTGTATGTCCTACGTTTATATCATTATGGCCGATTTACTTCTGAAACGCCAAATTCTTACACTTAATGCGCTAAGAAAAACATTTAACTCTATGGCTGCTTGGATACCAGCCATTGGTCTTATAATGGTGGGATTTTTGGATCAAGATCAAAAAACCTTGGCTATTGTTTTGTTGACGGCCAATGTGGGCATCAATGCGGGTGTTACTATTGGCAGTATTTTGAACACTATCGATTTGTCACCCAATCATGCTGGCATTATAATGGGTATTGTTAATACTTCGGCCAATATAGTGCCCATTTTAACGCCTCTAGTAGTGGGTCTCATTGTTGACGATAAGGTAAGTCTTTGAATTTTAGAAGTGTAGAATTGAAAAAATTTTATTGAAAATTTCAGACTGATCGCACTCAGTGGCAAATAGTGTTTGCCATTTCTGCGGCCGTATGGGCAATGGGTAATCTTTTCTATGTTATTTTTGGTTCAACAAATCTACAGCCTTGGGACGATGAAGATTATCTTTCGTCTAAGGATATACAAAACGAAGACTGCAAAAAGAAGGAACCCTTAGATACTAAGTAAATAATTTATATATGTATTCTAGAATTAGTTTTTAAATATTCTAAGTTTAATATAATAGGAACCAAATATGATATGATAGATATAGCATTGATATTATTTTTTTAAACAGTAAAAAGTACAACTAAGCTAAATGAACTCATTAAATCATTAAAACTATTTGTAAATAAACTAATAATAACAGTTATTTATTTATCGCATTCATAAGGTATGGCTTTCTTCTATCAGTTTTGAGATTATAGTACATTCAGTCAAGTCAATCAGTCATTACCCATGATATCAAATAAACTTTAAAATAGATTTTATATAGATTAGTTTGGTCGTGTGCTTAAGGCGTGTAAATATTTTGGTTTAAAGAACAAATAATAATCAATTATATACCCTATATCAGGGATGGAAAATTATGTACAAATATGAAGTTATATATTTTATCTAAACCATAAACTAGTACTAGGCAATGCATAAGTCCATAGACTAGATGCTAGAGTTTAAGCAGACTAGCAAGTACATTAAATAGTTTTCAGGCTAGACCATAAGCTAGTTAATAGACTAGTCCATAGAATAGTCCACCCAACAGTCTGAACCATATAATAGTGGAATACAAATTAGTAGACAAGTATACAGAATTGACAATTGACTAGTCAATCGACTAGTCAGTAGAGCAGTCAAAAAACTACTCAGTTGGCCAGTCAGAAGTCTAATCAGCGGACTTATCTGTGGACTAGTAAGTAGAACAGTCAATAAACTACTCAATTGACTAGTCAATATACTACTTGATTTGTCAATATACTAGTAGACTTGTCATAGACTAGATGCTAAAGTTTAAACAGGCTAGCAAAGATACTAAATAGTTCACAGGCTCGACCATAAGCTTAAGACTAGTATATAGACAAGTCCATAGACCACCCAACAGTCTGAACCATATAATAGTGGAAGACAAATTATTGGACAAGTATACAGAATTGACAATTGTCTAGTTCGTAGACTAGCCAATCGACTAGTCAGTAACTACGCAGTTAGTCAGTCAGTAGTCTAGTCAGCGGACTTATTTGTGGACTAGTAATCAGTAGACTAGTATACAGGTCGATTAAAAAGTCAGTAGACAAGGCAATAGACTAGTCAATAGGCTAATTTATCGACTAGTCCGTTGAGCAGTCAACAAAGCTACTCAATTGACTAGTCAGTAGTATAGTCAGTGGACTCATCAGAAGAATAGTCATTAAACTAGTTAATTGAAGTTACTGGTCAATATATTAGAAAACTTGTCAATAGCCTAATCAGTAGACCGGTAAATGGACATGTCGATAGACTATTCGATTGAAAAGTCAGTAGACCAGTCAATGGACGAGTCAGTAAACTAATCAATAGACTATTCAGTATGTCTAGTCTATGGTAGACAAGACAAGTAGTCTATTCAGTAGATTCGTCAGTACTTAATACACTAGACAAGTAAGTAGTTAATAGACTAAGAAAAAAAACATGCTCTAGACTAGTGAAGGAACTAGTTAATACAGTAGTCAATGTGGTTGTCCGTAGACTAATAAGAAGGCTAGTCAAGTAAGTGAACTTGTCAGTAGATTAGTAAGTAGACTGTACGTAGATAAGTCAGCAGACTAAGCAGTACACAAGCCAATAAACTAAATAATAGTCTAGTCAATAATCTGTTTAGTAGACTTGTCAATGGACTTGTAAGTAGACTACTCAATAGACTAAGCAGTCACTAGTCAGTAGACTAGTAAGTAATGTTGCCTATAGTCTATTAGTCTATACTATAGTCAATTCGTCTATACTAGTCAATTTTCTGAACTTATCCTAGTCAAAGGACTGGACAGTAGACTAGTCAATAGGCTAGTCAATAATCTGAACCAGAGGTTACTCAGTAGGCTAGTCAAAAGATTTTTCAGTAGTCTAGTCAATAGTGCGAATCATAAGCTAGTCAATGAGTGGACTAGTCAATAGACTGATCAATAGGTTTGTCAATAGACTAGTAATCATTGGCCTTGTCAATAGACTAGTAAATATTAACAAGTTGCTAGACAATAGACTAGTCAATGGATTAGTCAATAGTCCGTACATAGGATTCTCTTGTGGTACTAAATAAGGGTCTAAAAGCTTTCACTGAACATATGCCTGCTAAGCAAATATGAAAGATACGTAATCACAAATTGACTATGCTACGATTCTGATTGCTATTTTCATACTTCAAAATTGTGCTGTTTATATCATTAGGTGCTAACAAATATATCTCATCTAAGCATCGCTTTCCGACCCATAGTGCAAAATAACAATAACATAGCAATGCAAATTTTTAGTAGCATTAAACTTTGATCAAATCAAGTAGAAAAAATAACTGTATTACTTTGATAATAAAGTACTATCATCATAGTCAACTTTGAAGATTATTTAGCCCATGAATCTCTTCATTTGAACTAAGTGATCGTATATTGTTTTTGGTGTTTTAGTTAATTTAACATAGATCATGACTGTAGTGGATTAAAATTTTGCTGTTGCTGTTAAGAATAAGAAAATGTATTGAAATCTGTTGAGTTGGGTCGATAAATACTGGGCCCAAGATTACAAAGAGCGCTATAGTTTTGTTTATGAATGCCTGACTATATTACATGTGTTTAAATATTAAATTTTATTTCAACTGTTTTTAAATTAGTTATCAGTATTGAGATTAAAAAAATCCTACGATTTTCCTGTTTACCGATTAGTGACTAGCTTACAAATCCTTAGTGATCGTAGTTATGCATTTCACATCCTTCGTTCGATGTGTTTTTTTCAAACGCTGTAAATTTTAAGTAGTGATAACCATTTGAAGATCTTGTCTCACTTTGTGACCTATTTTCCAATTGGGAAGTTGTTTTTTTGTTACCAGATAAATCTAATTTTTATTATCACTCCCGATAATTTTGAAAAATTTTAGGTTTTTTGAGTGTTTTTTTTTTCGTCACAGGGTATTATCGTTGATAATATTGAATTAAAATGATTTAGATTTAACTTTTGTGCAATAGTGTTAGATCAAAATAAATCACAATGATCTTAAGTGCACAAAGTTTTCCTCTAACAGTAATTCATTATTTTTTGAATGAGTTCAATTTGAAACGTCCACTCAGGCAGTGGTGGTGCGTTGTTCAAAATTAAATCGATTAGAAAAGAGTTTGGTGAAATAATAAAACAATATGACGGCAGAAATTAACAAAGGTAAGAATAAAAGGAATTATAAATCATGTGAAGAAATATAGGAAAATTATAAAAAAATATATATTTTGTT